AGGAAGAGGAGGAGGAGGAGGAGGAGGAGGAGCAGGAGAAAGAGGAGGAGGAGGAGGAGGCAGGCTGAGGCTGAGGCTGTGACTGCGACTGCCGTTGCCGCTGCGACTGTCATCGCGAATGCGACTACGACTGCGAGAACAGCAGAATTCGACAACTGGATTTTCATCTGAATCTTAAGGGGAATGCTTTCAGATATGCTTCTACACATCGCTGTTAGGTTGCTTTGCCGGGATAATCCGAGTGAGGGGGCCGAACGGTCATTCACTGTCCCTGGGTGCGTGGCTGTAATGGGATTTCTGGTGCGGATTCGTGTTGTTGTTGTTGGTGTTGTTGTTGTTGGTGTTGTTGTTGTTGTTGGTGTTGTTGTTGTTGCTGTTGTTGTTGTTGTTGTTTGTTGTTTGTTGTTATTGTTGTTGTTGTAGTTGTTGTTGTTGTTGGTGTTGTTGTTGTTGGTTGTTGTTGGTTGTTGTTGTTGTTGTTGTTGTTGTTGTTGTTGCTGGTGGTGTTGGTGTTGTTGTTGTTGTTGGTGGTGTTGTTGTTGTTGTTGTTGTTGTTTTTTGTCGTCGTCCCACCCGCAACCCGCCCCGCGACCCACCCCGCGACCCACCCCGCGACCCACCCGCGACCCACCCCGCGACCCACCCCGCGACCCACCCGCGACCCTCCCCGCGACCCACCCCGCGACCCACCCCGCGACCCACCCCGCGACCCACCCCGCGACCCACCCCGCGACCCACCCCGCGACCCACCCGCGACCCACCTTCGACCCAAACCACGTTCAAGGTACAAACCACCATTTTCGGCGCCTGCGGCGGGCTTTTTTGCATTCCTTCCAGGTGGAGAGCCCGCGACCCACCCCGCGACCAACTCGCGACCAACCCGCGACCCAAACCACGTTCAGGGTACAAACCACATTTTTCGGCGCCTGTGGCGGGCATCGTTTGCATTCGTTTCACGTGGAGAGCCCGCGGCCCACCCGCGACCACGTTCAGGGTACACACATTTTTTTCGGCGCCTGCGGCGGGCATCTTTTGCATTCGTTCCCGGTGGAGAACCCGCGCCCCACCCGCGACCCAAACCACGTTCAGTGTACAAACCAATGTTTTCGGCGCCTGCGGCGGGCTGCTTTTGCATTCCTTCCAGGTGGAGGTGGAGAACCCGCGACCCAAACCACGTTCACTGAACAAACCAATGCCGCACAAGCGCGGCGGCGGATTTTTGCGTGCCGTCTGAGCCCGCAACGACCTCTTCAAGCCCCGCGCAACCTCACCAGCCCGTCCAGCAACTTTGCCCTGGCGAGTTGCCATGATCTAAGAAGTCGGGGAGCATAAAGTGGCAAAAAGGATTGCGTTGCCGTGATCTTGGGAAAGGAGGGGGAGGCAGGAGGAGTAAAAAGGGGACGAGGAGGACGCGGAAGAAGAGAGGATGTAAGGAGAATGTGGAGAAAGAGGGAGGAAGGAGGAGGAGGAGGAGGAGGAGGAGAGGAGGACGAGGAGGGGGAGGAGGGGGAGGAGGAGGGAGGGGATGGGGAGCATGAGGGAGGAGGAGGGAGGAGGGGGGGTGGAGGAGGATGATGATGGACGAACAATGGAGTACGAAGTGGATGTATGGGGGGGGAGTGACACAATGGGGGGGACGATGATGGAAGGACGAGGGGGAGGAGGAGGAGGAGGAGGAGGAGGAGGAGGAGGAGGAGGAGGACGAGGACGAGGTGGAGGAGGAGGATGACGATGACGATGAGGACGAGGACGAGGACGAGGAAGAGGATGAGGAGGAGGAGGAGGAGGAGGAGGAGGGCGCCATCGACAGGGAAGGTGGGGGCCGCGAGGTCCGCCGGCTCGACGACGCCCGCGTCGCCCGCGCCCGCCCCCTCACTCTTATCCGCAATTGCGGGGTGCTACGTACATCGAGCACGCCGTATGCGCCGATGTTTCGTTAAAGCAATGTGGGTGGGTCGCGGGGTGGGTCGCGGGTGGGTCGCGGGCAGGTCGCGGGTGTGTCGCGGGTGGGTCGCGGGGTGGGTCGCGGGCCGGGTCTCGGGCGGGTCGCGGGGTGGGTCGCGGGGTGTGTCGCGGGTGGGCCGCGGGTGGGTCTCGGGCGGGTCGCGGGGTGGGTCGCGGGTGAGTCGCGGGCTGGGCGCGGGGGGGACGACGCCAAACAACAATAACAAACAAACAACAAGAAGAATAATGCGCATCGCGGAATCCCACTTCAGCCACGCACCCATGGACAGTGAATCACCGTTCGGCTCCCTCATTTTGACTAGTATGTTTTTGCGCGTCCCAATTCAGGGAGATGTTCAGAGTAGCGGAATGGCCCACAGGGGGGGAGTATCGACCCGCCTCCTTCAATGGCGGGGAAACGTGCTCACATAAGACCATTTCTTTATTGCTTGGGGCACGACGGGCGTCATAGCCCCCGCTCCCCCCCCCCCATGACGTAACGTTCCCCCCCCAGTGCGCTCCGGGCACTGCCGCCGTGCGCGCTGGGATCCGCGTAGGTGTCCGCGTAAGAATCCGCATAGGAGTCTGGTCCGCAGTCGTCGTCGTCGTCTTCGTCGTCGTCGTCGTCATCGCTCGTGGCTCGTCGCTCATCGTCGTCGTGCGCACGGACGCGGCTGGAGCCTGTTATTCTTTCCAGGCCGATCACGGCAATCATTCGAGGGGGTGTGGAGGGGGTCGATGACATCATGTTTCGCGCTGGCGGCGTCTGGGAATGCCTAAGAAAGACGGACGACGGGTAGCACCAGCATGTAGGTGGCGATCTGCACCACAACGCCCGTGTACACCACAGTGCCTGCGTGCACCACAGCGCCTGTGTACGCCACACCGCGTATGTACACCACGACAGCCGCGTGCAACACAGCGTCAGCTTGTGCCGCCGTGCTCGCGGGCACAACAGCTGTTGTGTACACCGCAGCGCCTGCGTACACCACATCAGCCGTGTGCAACACAGCACCGGTGTACACCATAATGCCTGCTTGCATTGCAGTGCCTGTGTACACCACGGCGCTTGTGTGCACCACAGCAACCGTGTGCAACACAGCGCCACACTTGCATATCGAATGTTAGAAGGAATCCATATGACAAAATGGAGCGTTTGTGGAATCCACAGAAAACAATGCAAAGGAATTCTTATGGACAAAGGAGCGCCGCTGGAATCCGCCCGCATCACCCGAACTTCTCCCATCTCTGTCCAGGAGGCTCCAGCTAAATTGGCCGTGCGGGAACCAAGTGGACCGATTCAATCGACCATAATGCGGTGCACTGCGCGCTGAATTGCGCACGTGCGCTGTAGCGCCACCCCGCACGACGGGGGGCAAGGAGGAGGAAGAGGAGGAGGAGGAGGACGAAGAGGAGGACGAAGAGGAGGAGGAGGAGGAGGAGGAGGAGGAGGAAAAGGAGGAGGAGGAGGAGGAGGAGAAGGATGTGGAGGTGGAGGTGGAGGAGGAGGGAAGAGGGAATAACGTCGCCAGGCACTGGTGTACAGTCGCGCTGCATTGCACGCGGGTGCTGTGGTGTAGACAGGCGCTGTGGCATGCACAGGCGCTGCGGTGCACGCAAGCATTGTGGTGTACACAGGCGCTCTGTTGCACATGGCTGCTGCGGTGTACACATGTACACCGGCGCTGTAGTGTACGCAAGCACTGTGGTGTACACAGGCGCTGCGTTGCACACAGTTCTTGCGGTGTACGCAGGTGTTGTGGTGTTCGCGCGCGTTGTGGTGCACGCGAGCGATGTGTACACAGGCGCCGTGGGGCATATCGCCACCTACATTCTGCTCGCGTCGTCCTCGTCGTCATCGTCGCCGTCGTCGCTCGTCGCTCGTCGCTCGTCGCTCGTCGCGTCGTGCGCGCGGGCGCGGCTGCGGTGCCGGAGCCACGCGGCGGGGGGGGGGCGTTCCGTCATACCCCCCCCGCCCGCCCCCTCCTCCCCCCCCACGACGCCCGTCATCGCCGAACATAAAGAAACGCTCTCCATCCACTGCCTCGCGCTCTGAACCTCTCCTCCTCCTCCTCCTCCTCCTCCTCCTCCTCCTCCTCCTCCTCCTCCTCCTCCTCTGCGACACCGTGGATACGGGGCCGCTCTGCGCGGCTGCCCCGCGGGGAGCGTATCCATGGAGTCGCGCGTCCATCGGACATCGCCCTGTTTATCCACAGACGAGCGTTCAGCCAGTCGCCCAGCCATGGCCAATCGGGGCCTGGGCCCCATGGCCCTTCCCAGGAGCGTGCGGTTTTGCGCCGTCGAGGGGCATATCGCCGATCTGCTGGCTGCTGCATCGCGGGTGTCCCGCCGCATCACCGATCTGAACCAGCCTCAAGTTTGTCCTTACCCCTAACATCGGCAAGCCCAAGGCGATGACAATCTTAGGGATGTGTCCTCAGAAACTGAGGGAATTCTCGGGATCGGCACCGAGGTAAGGTGATGCCAATCACAAGGACTGGACAGGGATGCTTTAAGCTTGTCGGATCTCTATGTCGGCTACCTCTGTACTCCTCGCCGCCCCCCCCCGCTGACAGCCACTGCTCCAGGGCGCCCCACCTTCCGCGGGGGGGACGTCGGTCGGCATCCCGCTTGTGGAGAACAGGAGCTCGTGGGCCAGGGGCCCGGCCGGCCCCTGCCGATACGGTCGATGGGGGGCAGAGATGGGGAGGAAGACTCAGGAGGGAAAAAACACAGATACAAAGCATCCTCGATTCCCAGGAAAAGATGGGCACATCTGGGAAGTGGAGGGCAGACGAAAAACCCGAAAATATAAGAAAATGCGGAGAATCTTGGGATTTGTGTCTATTTATTTGTGTGTCCCTGGGCCCCTTCAGAAGAGGAGGAGTACGGCGAGCTCCTCGCAGCTGGACCGCGTCGGGGAACCCGATCCCGTGGCGGTGGGCATCGCGGTAGGGCTATCCCCTTCTCCTCCTCCTCCTCCTCCGCCTCCCGTCCTCCCCGTCCTCGTCCTCGTCCTCCTCATCCTCCTCCGCCTCCCGCTGACAGAACGAGAGGACTGGTTCGACGCCGACTTCCTGGCCGCGATGCGGGCGGACACCGACGAGGCGTGGTCGAGCGCGGTAGAGGAGCTCTCAACCCACCTCGCAGACGCGCTGCGGGGGAGCAGCGGGGCGAGTCTTACCAAACGGAGGAGGAGGAGGAGGAGGAGGAGGAGGAGGAGCTCGTGGGTTCCTGGAGGTTTTCCAGCCTCGGGGTGCTTTGCAGCAGCTGCTCTTCGCCGAGAGCGGGCCTGTTCGGAGGTGTTCGTCGGTACTTGCAGGTTCTCCGGCCTCGGGACGCTTTCCAGCAGCTGCGCCTCGCCGAGAGCGTGCTGGGCGTGCCCGAATCGCCCTGGACGGCCGCCGAAAGCCCCAGTCGAGGCAATGGCGACCCTCCCTGGCGCTTGTCGTCCCTCTGGGGCCTCCTGTGGGCTTCTCGCCGCGCTGCGAACGACGGCGGGCCAGGACGGACCCCAGGAGGGCGTCGAGCGAGGTGGGAGAGCCGCCGTTGTCACAACGTCCCGCCTCCGATTCTGAGGTGTGCCTCGGGCGCCCTGAAATCGGCATCGATGGGCCACTCCCCATTAACTACACATTCGGGTAGACCCTGCCCGCGCTGGTTAATCTTGCCTCCCTCGGAGGGGATAGATGTTTGTTCCATCGGGTTCCACGGCAGTAGGTCTGTGGGGCTCAAGAACTCTGGCCCACTGGGGATGGGGACAGCTCGTAACGACACGGGTGCAAGAACGAGGGAGGTCGGTCTTTCCTGACCTCTGGGCCTCCGGAGGGGGCCGCGTTCGCATCCCCAGGGCGCCCACGCACAAGACAGCCCGCTGCGATCCACCCCGTGCGGGCGCTGGGTCCGCGCGCGCCGCAGCCCGGGAGGGGGCGGGGCATGGGGATGCGGCTGCGAGCGAGAGTGGCCCCTTGTCGGAGTGACCTCTGGTGCGGGCCCACGGGGGTCCCCCCCGCCACTCGAGCGTCGAAGGACCCGGACCCCCTCGCGCTGTGGAAGGAAAAGTCACGGCGGGAGGTTTTTCGTTATTTCCAGCCTTTGGGGGCCTTTGCTGGGCCTCGGGACCGTCAAAAAACGACTCGGGATGAAAAACCGGTCCCGAGGAAAGGGTCCGGACCTCTGGGGGTCGACGTTGTGAGAAAAGTCTTGACGTCGGGGGTCTGGGGGAAGCGAGGTCGATTGTGCCGACATCGGCGCGCCAGTTGCCCGCGCAAGGACGCGCGTGAGCGCCCTCGTCTCCAGAGTGGCTTGCCGCGCTGGTGGCCCGCGGAAGCCGCCGCGCACTGTCGCTATATCATCCCGCGTAACGCACATTTTTGATCGTCGCTGATTCTGCCCATGACCCCAGCGTTCAATGGAAGCTGCGATCGATCCTCGATCTGCCCAGGGTCGCCCTTTGCCTGCAGCTGGGCGGTTGTCCAGAGGGCCGTTCCGTGGCTCCTCGCAGGGGCGCCCCGCGGACCCTCTCCTGCCCGCCCTCCCCCCTTTTCGGGCGACTTTAAGGGGGCGTGGCTGCGGTTGCGCCGTGGCGTGGCTGGCGAGCCGTTGGGGCCTTCGGGGGCCACCACGCTGCGCCAAAGCTTTGACGAGCCCTCGTCGGGGCGCGGCAGGGGTCTCCGTCGAGGTCCTTGCCCGCCCTCCCCATCGCGGGCTCAGGGCTCGACCTCGACGGCGGTTGGCGATACTTCGTGGGCCGCTGTCGTCGCGATTTACGTTTTGACGCCAAGGCGGGGCGAAGATAAAATGAGGGAAAACAAACAGAGAACGACAACGGAAACAGTGGGCCGTTTTCGTTCCGATGTAGTTTTGACGCAAAGGCGGGGCGAAGATGAAATGAGGGACAACGAAAAGAGAACGAAAACGGAAAACGCCGTTTGGGTCGAGCCCTGGCGCGGGTTACAAGCCGCATCTCTCGCAGACAAAAAACCCTTCGGGGAGTCGCCGGCCCCTGTCCTGGCGCCGCCAAGAGGAGCACCTCCCCGGCGCGCTCTTCTCCTGCAGGACTCAGGGGGCAACGATAGGGGGGGATGGGCATAGGGTTAAGTCGGGCGTGCCCCTCTACAGGAGTAATATTCAAAAATAGTCCCCCAAAAAGTTTGGGGATCATTTTTGTTCCTATGTTTGAGCATTTGGGGAGTATGTTCTGGGTATTTTCAATTTTTCGCCCAAAACCCCCCTGTAGGGGGACAAGCCCGACCTAAGCATAGGAGGGGTGCATCGACCCCCAATCGCCCATTGATCGCCGACAGGGGCCAAATAGCCTCAGCTTGCCCCGGAGCCTGCGGATTCATCCACTATCGGGGGCCCATCGCCCATTTATCCGCGAGATATCGTCGATTCCAGGTCGATGCGTCCCCCCCTGTGCCAGTCCCCCCCTATCGTTGCCCCTCCAGGATGTTCTCAAAGAAATTCTGCGACATGCTCATAGAGGAAGTCGACAACTTCGCTGCGACCGGGCTGCCAGCCAGACGGCCCAACAGCATGAACAATTACGGCATAATCCTTAACGAAATCGGGTGGAAGCCCATGGTAAATGTGCTGCAGGATAACATCCTTGCGCGCATCGCCGCGAGATACTGGCCGCACATAGCCCCGTTCGACGGGCACCACACCTTCATTGTCCGGTACAAGGAGAATGAGGACCGCGGCCTCGACATGCACACGGACGACAGCGACGTCACGTTCAACCTCTGCCTCGGCAGGGAGTTCAGCGGCGCGGGGCTCAGTTTCTGCGGCGTCATGGGCCAGCCGGACCACCGCAGGCACAGCTTCACGTACAAGCACAACATTGGGCGGTGTTGCTGGCACCTGGGGAGGCAGAGGCACGGAGCCGACGACATCACCGCCGGCGAGCGCCTTAATCTGATCGTCTGGAACCACAGCTCGCGGGTTGGCCAAGGGTGTCCCTGGCCCAAGGTGCCCCCAGCTTGACGTGGCGCCCAGGGGGGCCCCTCGGGGCCTCGTGAGGGGTGCTCTGGAGGCCGCGGGGGCGTCCTCGGAGATCGTGGGGACACCTTGGGCCAGGGACGCTTCTGGCAGCACCCGGACAGCTCCACGTACCGCAAGACCTCGGAATACAAGTCTGCTCCCTACAAGAAGGAGAAGGGGCCTCCCGACCAGGTGTGCCTGAGCTTCACCCACGACAGGGACTACGGCGTGTTCAAGGAGTACACGGCCCGCAACAAGGTGCACCAGGCCTCATCCTCCTCAGCTGAATCTTCGCTGCCCCCTTGTCTCTCGAAGGGTCTGTCGGGGTTGGACAGAACCCCCACCATGCCAAGTCGAGGGGCGAATATCCCTTGTTTCGGTTCTCGAGAGTGTGTTTCGGCCGCGAGTGTTCTGGGCCCCAGCTGCCGAGTGTGGTCCCGGGCCGTTTTCACCGAAGAGTGGCTTGCTAAGGGGGTTATGCCCACCCCCGACTGTGATGCCGAAGTGGTCTCTGCTTATGTGCCCGATTGCAGTCCCACCTGGCCAGTGGCACACATCCCGTGGAATTTGTAGTGCGATAGTGTGCACCCTACGTTATGCGTCGGGTTGGGTCGAGGCTATTATGGTGAATCGGGTCAAGATGATGTGCCCAAAGTGTCAGACACTCCCTCCAGACCTCCGTCGTCCTGCGTTTCAAAAGGCGGGGCTACTCCGCCACGTTCGCACGGGTTCAGCGACACGCTTTCGTTGTGTTTTTGTTTGCGGATCTCGGAAATGGAGACAGCCCCCTGGAGGGCCAAGCTCTCCTGCCAGGAAGGACTGGGGCCCTGATGGCAACGGGTCATGGACCCTTCACCCCTAGAGTTCCTCCTGGGGCTTGACGATCCCATGGCCTGGGACGGGCCCCGCAGGGCCGACGACCCAAACCTCAGGGCTCGTGTCCCGCGAGATCCGTCTGCTCTCTCACGGCTGCGATTGCCGGTCTCGGAGCCCCAGACGGCCCCCTTGGAGGCCCAAGGCCGTCACGCTTCGTGCAGGCGCCAGACATCCTCCGGCGCCTCGAAATCGGCCCGCCGTCGCCACAGGCCTCTTCTCGGGAGCGGCTAAGAGGGGGGGGGGCGACTAGGGAGGGGATATCATGGCGTGGGCCATGATATTTCCTCAGATTTCACGGCGCCGCTTTTTATTTCATTACGTCTTTGCCCCCCCCCCCTGTGCCGCGCACATGCCGCCGGCCAGGATTTGCGTCCCCCCAACTTGGACGCCCCCCTCTCGGCCGCCCCCCATGTTCTGGAGCGAATTCCGACCTGGACTGCGGGAGGAAAGCCACCCGTCGGGGCCCCCAACGGAGAGCATTCGGTCGGAGATTCCCATTAGTCTTCAGTCGGGCGTGTCTTTCCACTGGAGGAGAGTATTCAAAAATAGTCTAATTTTCTATTTTTCGTGTGGCAATTTTGATGATGATTTGACTATTTTCTATTTGTTCCAAAAAATTCGCCTATAGGGGGACACGCCCGACCTAAGACTATGGACCCCTTGTCCGCAAGCAACCAGCTTTCACGCCGACGACCACGGGTAACTTGGTGGAGCCAGAGCAGATGGGGTCGGAGGATCGCGCCGATCGCCGCTGCACGGCCACTCGGCGCGGTCTCGAGCCCGATTCTCGTCCTGGCGCCGCCAGTGCAGTGGCGATGCTGCACGATGGTCCGACACAATGTACTCCGGCCCAATCTGGGATGCTCTCAAGAATCAGTCACATCTCTTCTAGCCCTGTCTTTGTCTCGGTGTCCGAGCGGGATTGAGGTTCCTTGGGACTGAAGAAGAGAGGACGAGTGAGATTGAGGGTTGCTGATTCTGAGTTTGAGTGGTTTCCTACGCGTTGATCTTGGTATGAATCAGTTGATATGAGCGAGTCCGAGGGTGAGAGTCCCTGCATCTAGCGGCAGAGTGCGACTGAGCCTACGTACACACGAGAGGGTATTGGTGTGAGTCGGTTCGAGTGTGCGTGTACATGAGTGTGAGGTTTTGAGGTTTTGGAGCCCCATGAGGAGGAGGGGAAAGGGGAGAAGAAGGACATGTCTACCACGCCAAACGGCCATTCTACTTGAGCGATTCCGAGAGTCTGGGCGCGAACGGGCATATGGGCCCATGCTGCCCCTCTGGTCGACTCTTCCTCGGGAGGCCCAAAGGCGATGCTTGACACATCGCTGCGCTCATGGGGCTCTGACACAAGACACGTCTACTTCCAACAACTGGCGGTCTACTCGATAAGTTCCGACAATCTGGGCGCGAACGGGCCCGTTCAGCACTCATGGTCGACACCCCGTGGGGAGGCCCACTTGCGATGACTGCTATATCGCTACATCGCGTGATCTGGGGGGCTGCGAAACAAATATACGAATACGTCCTACATTGGCGTTCTACTTGATAGATCCCGATTCCGACCCCCCGACGATCCTGAGCCCTCTTGGGGCGGAAGGCTCGAATTGACAGTTCGTGTTCACTGTCTAGGGCTTTTCTTGGGGTCGTCTTGGGGCCTTCGAAGGCATTCTTGGGCGCCTTTGGTGTCGTTTTGGAGCCCTCTTGGGCCGTCTTGGGCTCCCCTGCGGGGCCTCTTGGGGCAGTCCTGGTGGCCTCGTGGTTCGTCGGAAGCTCGAAAAGGCGAGAATACGACAATCTATCAACAACCGACGGCGAATCGCTGATGTTGGCCTTGTCCGGACCTTGCTGGAGACTCTCTCGGAGCCGTCTTGGGCCGTCATGGAGACCTCTAGGCCCATGTTGGCGGCCTTGGTGGCCTGCCTTGGTCGGTTGAGAAGCCAGCTTCGGTATCTCTCGGGGGTGGACAGAACCCTCAACAGTGACACGTCGATTAGTGAATTGTCCGTTTTCGATTCTCGAGAGGGCGCCGTGGCCGTTATTTTCCAGGTTTGGGCCTCAGGTCGTTTTCACTAAACCACGTTTTACTAAAGGGGGGTCTGTCCATCCCCGAATCTCCGATGCCCTGGAGGGCGCCAGAGACGTGCTTGTGCGCCGACAGAGCCTCGGAAAGACTGAGCGATGCGCTCGCCTGTGTGATATCCGGGAGGTGGCGGGCCCCCTTGAAAGACTGCACAAACCTTGCCAGGCGGTGGCGGATGTTGATGTTTTTCGCTTCCATGCGGGATCCCCAAAGTAGAAGGCCTGATTCTTTCCTTGGGGCCCGCTTGCAGCCTGAATCGTTTCTTCGGGGGCCACATGCGAACCTTACCCCTACCCACCACGAATTCTGAGGGGGAGGGGGAGGTTCACTTCGTTCGGGAGCTCTCGAGCGAAGTGAACCCCACCCTCCCCCTCAGAAATCGTGGGGAGTAGGGGTATGGTTCGCATGTGGCCCCCTATTTCTGTTACGGTCTCTGGGTCTGATGGACCCCTTTAGGGACCGAAGACGGCGAACGAGCGACATGTGTGTTTCCCGTGCGTTGGAGGCTTGGGGGGGGGGCGCTCGGTCCCTCGCGCCCTCGTGGCTTCCAAGAAGCCTCCTCGGGCGCCTGTCCTTCCAAAGAGACCCCCTGCCTTCCAAGAGGCACTGCGCCTTCTCAGAGGAGCTCAGAGGGCGGCCTCGGGGGGGGGGGTCTCCGGCAGGCCCGGGACGAAGACGCATCGCTCCCGAGAGCCCCGGGGAACGCTCGCAGAGCGTTCCAGAGCGCTCTGCAACGGCCGTGGCGCCCTTGGTTCGGGGGTGGACAGACCTCCTACCCTGACACGTCGATTAGTGAATTGTCCGTTTTCGGTTCGAGAGGGCGCCGCGGCCGTCATTTTCCAGGCTTGCGCCCGCCAAGTTTGGGCCCGAGGTCGTGTTCACTAAACCACCTTTTACTAAAGGGAGGTCTGTCCATCCCCGATTGGTACGTCCTCCAGACGCTCCAGCTCTTAGAGTGAAGTCGGGCCTGTCCCTCTACAGGAGGGATATTCAAAAATAGTCAGAACATAGTCAGGAGACGATGTTTTAGCATTATTTGACCATGTTGGTGTATGTTTCACTATCTTTCACTGGTCGCCCAACATCCCCCTGTAGGGGGATATGCCCGACGTAATCTTAGAGATTCCTGATCTGTCGCCATCCGATTGTATCTCCATCCTGCCTTCGTCTCGGGTCCGACCGTAAAGCCCGCCGGCTCCAGGAGGCCCGCCAACTCTCGGAGAATCTGGCCTCATCAGTCGGACCCGTCATCTCTCGGAGATCCCACCTCTCCAACTGGCTCGTCGTCATAGAACTTGCAGACGCCCGGCAATGAGCGCCACTCTGCTTCCCGGCTATGCCATGACACTGTTTCTTCGGCCACGGCGTGGCGGCTCGCAGGCAGTAGGTATTGCGACCCCACGCGATAGTGGCCATGTATTCATGTCTTGGCATCGCTCCGACGTGTGCATTTTTCCTTCAGCGAGGACCATCGAGGAGCCTCCTCGATCACTTGGCGAAAACGCAGCGCACGACACCGGAAAAAAACACACTGGGAATGGACGCCCGAGCGATGGCCAGATGTGCGTTCCGTACTCGGCCTCTTGCTTGCCTGCTTGCCTTCGTCTTATGTCGGGCCTGTCCCCCTACAGAGGGATTTTCGACGAAAAATAAGAAATACCGCAAAAATACCCACAAAAAGACAACAAAAAACCCCAAAAATGGTCCCCAGACTATGTTTAGATTATTTTTGGACTATCTTGGGGGTAGTTTCTATGTTTCGTCGAACATCCCCCTGTAGGGGGACAGGCCCGACTTTAGGCTTGGGCCCCCCCCCCTCCCTCTGGGCGCCAGGGGCGCGGCTGGTGCCCGCGGCGCTCCTACGAGTACGACGGCTTCAAGCAGGAGCCGGACCCGCCCGGCGGCCCCGTCCGGGAGCAGGAGCCGCCCGCTGCAGCTTCCCTTGGCGGGGCTCGGGCGTCTTCGATCACCCTGCGAAAAAACAGACGCACGACACCGAAGAACGCACGGGCAGTGGACGTCCGAGCGATGGCGAGACCCACGGTCGATCGATCAAGGGTCGAGGGCCGAGGCTTATGGGTGTTCTTCGGCACCTTCGGGGGCACCCAGATCAGGCGATCGCAAACATGCATCAAGGGGGCGTGGATTAGCGACGGTTCCTGTTTCCATGGGACATCGCGGAATCCCGCCGCCGAACGGGGCGGCACCGGCCGCATTTTGGGAAGGGACCTCCCCCGATT